TCTCTGTAAGAAATGATGCTCCCCTCAACAAAAAGAAACTCCTGATCCTTCAAATTGAAATCAGGGTAATGCACTTCAATGTTTATTTTGACTGCTCATAAAACTCCCCCAGTTCAAATGGTTTCCCATTAGTACAGCATGTACTTTCTTTCTCAAACCAATTATAAAAAAGACATGGCCCCAGAAATATTGGCAAGTAAAACATTAAACCTCCTGATATACACAGACCAAAACCCATTCACCTCGACTTCAAAATATAAACTCTTCAAAAAAAGTCACAGAGCTTAAATTTTGAGTTGCAGCTCTGCCTATTCCCACAGGCAAATACAGCTAATTTTCTGTTTTTTGCTTTTCCTGCTGTTCAATAAAAGTTAATTTTTTCAACTGTTAAAGGCCTTCCAATAGGGAATGCTCGCACATTAAACAATGACAAGACGTCATGCATCAGAGAAAGCAGAACTCCTTTGGACAGGATCTTAACATGGTACAGTGCAAAGGATATCTACTCTGTGCAGCTAAGCAATTGATCAAACAGGTGAAGATGTAAAGTCACAATTCACTTACCAGTGTGAGGTGGTCAGGTGGCCAGCAGCAGAAATAGCTACTAGACTGTTTAGGAGCTACAATCAAACATGCAGGGAATTTTGGTCAAGCTAGTTTAAACTCTGACCTCAGTTAAAACTGCAGCCAGGATATGTTCTGACCTGTAGTTTCCTGTGTTGACCAAATAAAGCAAGTGTCATGGTTGTCTCTGGACAGGCTGGCACCACTATTACCTTATATGTAGTATGGAATTATCACTGTTTATGGCCCAGTGTAAACCTTTCAGAGATGTTTACCAGTAAACTCCATTGGCTGGGATTGAAGAAGGTGACCAGGCTTTGATCAATTCATTGGCTGTGTTTCAGAGATCTTCCGGGAAGGAGCACATTTTACAGAACAAAGGAATTTGCTGATAGGAGAAGAAGCCTCTCAGACCTCCCAGACATGAGAAGCATGTGTCCTGAAGTAATTTCCAGAGAGACAAAGAACCATGAGGCAAGACCTACATGGAGAGCAAAGTTGGCCACTTCACTTGAATCGCGGTAGTATTTGATTCAAGCCAAACTTATCGAGTTAGAGTTAGGGTTAAATGTATTAAGTTAAAATGAGATAAAGTGAAGTTAAATGAAGTACGTTAAAGTTGAAGTGAAGTAGATGAAATAAGAAGTAAATGTTGCAATGAATGTTTGTTTTGTACTAGGTATTGGTATTTAAAGAGTTAAGATATAGAAGGGTTTGTTTAATTAAGTTCTGACTCTGTTCCCAGTCTTTGGTATTTCACACAAGGGAATATATGGGTAAAAGATTTGAGTTCTCCTTTTCAGGCAACAGTGAACTTCTATCTCCACTGAAAGGTCAACCATGCTATCTACGTCTCCTCAGAAGCTTTTAATTTTTGATTTCCTCCCACGTTGTGTAGTGTGAATGGCTCCTCGTGTCTAACAGTGATTGACCTGGTATATAGCATTTTTATTCATATTCTTTGAATATGACGCCAACAGCAGAAATCCCGCAAGATCCTGTCACTGGCAAGTAATTCTGACACTGGTGAGCACACAATAGCATAGGTACAGCACCATCGAGACATGGTCCATACATAGGGGTGAGCAGCAGAGAATTGAACAAGATAACTTGCTGGAGCTCACAGACAGAAACTCTCCATAAAACTCCCTAAACTGACACTTATCCCATTTTTAACAAAAATCTAGCTTATTTTCCAAGGATCATTTTGGTCTCCTGATTCTTCCCACGAAAATTTACCAACTCACACTTCTCTGTGTTGAAGTTCATTTGCCAACTGTTGTTTCATTCTGCAAAATTATAAATACCTTCTCCTATTTTAGCACAGACCTTCTTTGTATAAATGACATATAATTTTATGTCATCTACGAATTTTGAAATAGTATTTCAAATTCTCAAGCCCAAATCATCCATATAAGTGGAGAACAGCAGTGGTCCTTTTTTGACCCCTATGCAATACCTATCTTCCCATATTTGGCCAGTATGAGTAGCTAACTTTAGTCTGTACTCTCTGCTTTCTGTTTTATACCCAACTTGCTATCCAGCTTTCTACATGCCCCTTGACTCCATGTGTTTAGATCTGAGTTATCAGTATATTATGAAAGCCAATATATTACTTCAGTATCCTTATCAAAGCTTTCAGTTTTTTCTTCAAAGACTTCAATAAGAATGATGAGGCATGCCTTCTATTTTGAAATCCATGCTACATTTTAATTTATTTTCAGCTTAAATGTTCAGAGTTTTTTCTATTATATTTTCGAGTAAGGATTTTGTTTCCTTTCCTACAACCAAGGCTAAGCTAATTGGCCTATTATTCCCTGGACGAGTTCCATTTCAAATTTAAACAAAAGAATCATTTTAGCTTTCCATAGTGCTTCTGTTTTCTCATCCCTAACCTTTTAACACAGATGGTGTGTTCTCAATCTGATGGTCAACTTAACAGTAGCCACACAAAATGGAACAGCAACTGTATAACAAACTGGAAAGGAAGAGAGAAGTAGATGCAGTCAATCAAATGCATGCTTCTAAGCAAATTAAGTCATAATCTTCAAAGCTAAACGCCATTTTAAAAATCCTTATTTGAGTTGTGAAACCACTTTGATGACTGTGGAATAATGCCAACAAATAAATACACTTCTCATATTTTTGTGAAACACCTTGACAGATATTTAACAAGGATCACAAATAAAATACAGAAAGGCCTAGCTTCAACGTTCTGCACCTATCTTATGGGGTACAGTGGACAAAACAGCTAACTAATATAGAAACTTGATCTGAGATTTGGGCCAAATTGATGTTTTTACGGTGACCCTGACAGTTCAGGTTTAATATTGTGCCACTTCAGTCTCTAATTTCACATTTGTTTAAACAAATTTTTAGACAATGTTTTTGGCCTTACAAAGGGATAGTCCCAAGACCAATTTTTAACTTAAATTTCTAAAACTCATTTTGGTGTTTTATTTTGTTACAGGACACCTTTATAGGGCTGTGTCATGTTAATTTTGTTTCCCGTGGTTTACCTGATTTCAAACTAGCAGAAAGGGATAGTACAAGACTGCTTCAAAAAAGGTTCAAATATCATTTTAATATGGAGCAGCCATGCTTCCACTAGTTCCACAATACAATCTTTGATCATTGCCAGTCTGTCCATTAGTAAACCCTTCCCACCCAACCCTCCACTTGCCATCTCACAATGGCATTCCACCCAGCTGAAATTTACACTTGGGCAACAATTCCATTCAATGCATTACTAGTTTCACAGTACACCTGAATTGTTATAAGACTGTTTGGAAATGTAATTATGTGATGAATTCAGTTCAGTCCTCTGCACTTATCTGCATATGCAAAAAAACAACCATAATTTTCATGATTTATATATATGTTGTTGGAGTCATGCCTCAATTGGGTGGCATGGTGGCTCAGTGGTAAGCACTGCTGCCTCACAGCGCCAGGGACCCAGGTTCACTTCTGCCCTTAGTTGACTGTCTGTATGGAGTTTGCTCATTCTCCCTGTGTCTGTGTGGGTTTCTGCCAGGTGCGCCAGTTCCCTCCCACAGTCCAAAGCTGTACAAGTTAGGTGGATTGCCCATGCTAAATTGCCCATAGTGTTCACAGATGTGTAGATTAGGTGTGTTAAGCCATGGGAAATGCAGGCGTTACAGGGAAAGTATAGGGTCTCAGTGGGATGCTCTTCAGAGGCTTGGTGTGGACTTGTAAGGCCAAAGGGCCAATTTCTACACTGTGGGGATTCTATAATCCCTCTGTTCTGAGGCTTTCAATAGTGACTTCTCATTTAAATAATATTCCACGAATTGAGTGTCAAAGTGGTATCAGAGTATATGGGACAAATAGAGTTGAAATACCAACCAGCCATGATGTAATTGAAAAGGCAAGCCAACTCAAGTGACTGAACAGCCTGCTCTAGTTCCTGTGCTCTTTAAATATCTGAGATTTTGTAATTTGTCAAGAAAGTTATTCTAGCTTTTCAAAATTTAATATGTTCAAATAGGTGTAATTAAAAACACGCTCTGCATTATTATTACACAGCTTGAAGGATTTCGCAAAATGAAGATGTGTTCAATTTCTAAGATGCAGTGTAATCAGAGCACAAGATTTCAGCATGAGAAATAAATGCAACCTTCCACTCCGGTGATCCCCTGAGCAGAAACAGCTCACTGCAAGGGAGAGTAAAAATCAGATATGACAACGAAGTCTGCTATTGTCATGTCACGTTACCTGCTTCTGAGTAACTGAAAAAGAAGGGCTTTAGAAGTGGATTACAAAGTCCTGCCATCTTAACAACTGAGATGGGACTTCAAATTAATTTCAATGGAGGGTACCAATACTAGGAAGTTCAAGTATCTAAGAGTAAGTAACAATATGATGCAGAATATTAATTATTTTGTGGCTGACCCTTCCAAAGAAATTTCAAATTTATGTAATAACAGTTGAGGAACATTTCACTTTTCTTTGCTAAAGAGCCATTAAATAAGTTGGAATGAAGATAGCTGTTAGAACAAAATGGAGAAGGAAAATTGCATTCACAACATATATATGTTCAAAGCATTACTGAATAAGACATAAGTAACAACCACACTGCAAGATGCAATAGATCAATTTGCTGTAACCTAGTAAGCATTCTTTATAATAGTAATAACCTCCAGTTTTCTTTCGAAATCAGATTGACTGTCTATTAGTGCCAATTGAAGTCCAAGTAATTTATATGCAATATAATGTGTTTATTGAACATTACTTAGAAGAAAATGACCTGACAGCCTAGACTCCACTTCTGTTAGGGATCATTAAACAATGTACATCATTGGCAACACGAAGAAATAAAATCTAAGGCAATCTATTCATACTCTTTATCACCAACCAATTAAGAGAAAATTCAACAAAACTTAATGGAAAGGAAAATCATTCAAAAATATACTCACTGTGGCGAGCTCATCAAACTTGCCAAAGAGTTCATTTAAAAGCTTGACTAGTTCTTGTGCAGTGCACTGTGAAGCCAAACTGGTGAAGCCCACAATATCTGCAAACAAGATGCTGGGGGAGGAGAAATAAATCAAATGTAAGTCCCATTTTGCCAAATAGCTGCAAGTAAAGTTTAGGTACAACAGTGAAGATTTTACAGACTACCAACAGGACTGTTCAAAGTCTATACAGAATCTTTGTAATATGGAGATTAGATTAGGGAGTTAAATCTTGGCTTGTGTGCCAGTTTATCAATGTTGTAGCATCGAGAAAAGGGGCAGACACACATACACCTCCTTGCTATTCCTTTTCCATCACATGTTTTTCTGATGCACCATCATCCAACTGTATCTTCCACTGCCCTGTAACTGAGCTCATGTGAATCCAAATTGCAATCATATAAAAGGATAGTGAGCATGCTGGGGTTCAAAGAGAATCTTAAAGTGACACAGAGTAGATTCAATCAACATATTTAGACGATAAAACTTTCTCTTCATCTTCTCTTTTTTTTTTCTGTTGGCTGTCAATGGTTCTCAATGAAGCTTTGTGCAAACTGTT